CCTAGACCCTTCATCTGATGAAGGGTCTAGGCCCGAAACGTCAGCCTCTCTGCTCCTATGATGCTGCTTGGCCTGCTGTGTTCATCCAGCCCTGCACCTTGTTGTCTGGAATAAAATGGTGTTCCCTACAAATTACCTTCTGGCACTAAAAAACCTTGGTGGTGGAGGGTGGGGGACATGTTCATCATTGAAAATATGTAAGTTAGATTGCCTAGATTTATGAACTTTTCAGTTCAATTCAATCCAAAAAAAGTAGTAACAACCTGAATATAGTTCTTTGGTGTTAACTCTTCTAAAAAAAAGGAAAAGTACACTTTGGATTGATTTTCTTTTTTATGTTTGACTTTTAAATATGAAGTAGCAGGAATTTGTAAAAAGTAAATGATCAACACAAAACATTTTAGTACTCAATTATGTGGGTTTTTTTTGGCTTGAACCAGGTAAATGCTTTGGTACTGCAAGTTCATAATGGTGTACATCAGGAAAAAGGCTTAATGGAATGAATTATCTTTCACAAATCCATATGCAAAAACAAAAAAATTTCCTGCGATTGGTGCTCAAATACACGTCCAAACTATTTCCACTGGCATTTGCTGGTGGCATTATTAAGATACACATTTGAATCCTCCCATTATTAGAAACTGCAATGCATTCCAAAACACACCAGTTGAGATTGTACTGCATCTCAAGCTGGATTGAAGTAGTGGCATATATCTCTTTTCAGTCATGTCCTGCCTTACAGAAAGCATTAAACTAGCAACACTTCAGTGAAGATTTTAAGATCATAAAACATAAGAGCAGATGTCAGTCATTCTGTCCATCAAGCCTGCTCCACCATTCGATAAGATTATGTATAACCCCACTGCAATTTTACCCACTTTCCTGCCTGCTCTCTATAAGCCTAAATTCCTCTGTAGGACATTTTACAGTATGAGGAAAGCTCTGTACTAGAATGCACTCTGACAAAAGGTTAACTAGCTAAAATATGAATTTTTAGAAAATTCTTTCCTGGGACATGGAGTCACTGGCAGGCCAACATTTGATGCCCATCCACTGAGATAACGTTGCCAGAAGTGCAGTAGAAATCCTGATGTGCATAAAGAACATTTTGGCTAGTGAGGCAGCAAATTGGGACCAGTTCAAAGGAATTTCTGATTAGATCTCAGACCAGTTCTTACGCAACTACTACAGCAGCTAATGTCTAGGCAGTCTCCTCCCCAAGGGTATTGGTTGGATGAGCATGAGGGTGCTGGAGTTCATCGCACGAAATGGCATTTATAATGTGAACTCGTACATCAGACGGCCTGACATTCAACATTTATGAAAAACAAACTCCATGCTAACAAGTGCAAGTCCAAGGCCAAGTAATCTCCAGCAACTATCTCACTTCTTGACTCTCCAAAGCTATCCATCAACACAGCACAAAAAAATGGAATACTTCATTTTACACTGACTAAGTGCAGTTCCAACAATCAAGAAGCTTGACACATTCAGGACAAGGCAACCTGCATATTAAGATGCCACAGATAATTTCAAACATTCACTCCCTCAATCACGGGTGCACTGTTGTCAAAATGTTTGGCATCTACAAAATGCACTGCAGCAACTTGCCGAGTTTCTTTGAGGTAACATCCAAAATCACAATGTAAATGGAGAATGGTATGGACAAATGAGTTCACTCTCACAACCTGCAAATTTCCCTTCAAGTCGCATCTCTCCCCAACTTGGGAAAAATGACACTCTTCTTTCATCGCTGGCCAAAATTGAGAAACGCAGTACCTAACAATACTGATTTTGTACCTGCACTCATCCAGACTGCAATGATTTGAGAAAATAACTCACCACCAGTACCTTCTCAAGGGTAACTAGAAGTGGCAATAAACGTTGCAGCCCTTGAGAAAAATAATTTGGCAGCACAACGGGGAGAAGGCAACTCTACTAATTTATACAATTCCGACTAGTATTCAACCTGTGGTTACAGGTTGTAAACTAAGTTCATTCCACAATATTGTTTTACATTGAGTTCTCAGAAATGTCCAGTGCCACCTCATCTCTCTAAACACAATACGTATGCCTGCATCCACAAAATCCTAATTACACTATGCTTTCAAAGTAAATAACTGACTGACAAAGTAACCTGATTGATTTTTAAGCCCTGTCTAAAGACAGTCTTGCAATTTCCAAAGTCATACAACCCAGTGCACAACAATTTAGATTACTTACTGCACTGAACAGCCCTTCAGAATAACACAGAAAGGATACAGGTAAAGGTAAAGTTTTACCAGACCATAGGACTTCCCTTTCATTAGTGACAGATGCTGGTAGTTTAATCAGGGTCACCACACCTCAGTTGAGGGGAGAGGTTGAGCAGAAGGGGCCTTCATCGCTACTTCAATTCAAGAACACAGCAGTGCTTCTAACACACTATTTTGAGGAGTTTGTTCTGTTGCAACAACAGTGAAAAGCTGCACTACATGAATAGCTTTACTTCAATCAGAACCATAAAATCATTCAGGAATATTGCTCCCATCTCACTCGCTTTTTGAAAGGTATCATGGTTTTTTTTTGTGCCCACCTGAGACAAATTACAAGAAGTATCTATTCAATCTTTTAAATATAAAAATGAGGAGAATTTTCCTTATTACAATTATGTAGATGATGCTTTATTAATGAGTTACCTTTTTGGACTCCACAAAAATGTATTCTTCTACTTCTTTGGTCATTACTTCCTCTGGTACTATCTTCAGTTTTGTGGAAAGGAACTTTATGGCACGTTCTCGCACAATGTCCTCCCCCTGTATTATCTGTGTGAAAAGACCACCTAAGGTTCCTTTGGGTAAAAGAAAATTAAGAACACAATTAATTTTAAACTCAGTGTGGATATACTAACATGAAAGTTTGTAAAATAGGCACAGCATTAGCCAATAATAACCCAAGTGATACATATGTACACTCAAACAACTGGTATTTCACAATGCATTTTATGTTCCATTAAGCCGTTGATAATGTATCAAATGACCCAAATTTAAATACTTGTCATTGTTATGCCTAAGAGTAAACTAATGTCACCTGTCCTAATTCGCCTCCTCAATCCTAAAGATTTTACAAGTGTCAGTACTTAACTTTTCAAAACAACTTTTGCTGGTTTTAATTTTTCTTCTCTGTCACACCAATTTCCAAATGTTTCAATTTTTTTCACTTCTTACAATTCTGCCACTTTACATCTTATTTCAGGTATATAATTTGTCAGTCTGCACAATAATTGCTACTTGATGACATTTCACTGCGACAAATTCAAGATAGATGAGATAAAAGACATAAGACTTCCTCTGCCGTTAGTCATTATGACGATCTTAAATAATACAGATACTGACACATCAGGTTTTTCAATGTTGTGTGCCTTCTCCAAACTAACTACCTGTTCAATAATGTGTGATAAATGAACAATGGTAGAAAAAATAATTTTGTATTACGCCTGAGCATGGTTTGAAACAGCCATTCTATTTTCATACCATATATCCAAGTAACGTGTACCTTGATAACACAGTCACAATAATTAGGAGGAAAATGATAGTTACCTTTGGCATCAATCTTGAATATACATATTAATGCATTATTAACCAAATTGAACTCCGCACTATCATCTGTGAAAAACAAAAGGAGAAATTCTTGTAATTCAGAGCTGAAAGTAACTAGTTGAAGTAACTCAGAGACAGTAAGAACTGCCGACGCTGGAGTCAGAGATAACAGTGTGGAGATGGAAGAACACAGCAGGCGAGGCAGCATCAGAGGAGCAGGAAAGTTGATGTTTTGGGTCGGGACCCTTTTTCAGAAA